GGAGCCAGCAGCACACAGAAGCAACTGAATGAACCAGCTGTAAATTAGGACAAAAGATGGAGAAGCGTGCAAAATAAAGAGAGGAAGTCAGGTCTGAGAAGCTGAGGAACAAACAAGATAATTTAAGAACCTGTGTGATTTAATAAATGTGCCTCTGTCAAAGATGCCACTCAAGTCAGTTAAACACTTTTCCCAGGATTCTTCTAACTGTATACTGATATTTCAGATGCCTGATTTATGTCTTGGAGGTCAACTCCCAGAAGTGCTGAGCATGTGCTATTGCAGCTAGCACCAGTAAACACTGAGCATGGAACATGCTATGTATTGCCTCACATGCAGAAGATCAGGTACAGATAATTAAGACTCTGTTTCAGAAGTAAGAGGTAAGTTTTGATTTCCTAATGCCCACATTCCTCAACTACAAAATGAAGACCCTATTATTCCATTTCAAAGAAGCAACTTAATACTGTGTCATGCTAAGATTCGTGGTAAAAATTCCATTAGAACATGAACAAGACTTTTTAGAATAGAATTAAACAGTATTCAGTATGCAAAGTGAAGCATATGCCAGTAGGAAGCAAACCAAATATTAAGGAACTATTTATATTGTCCACTATAATAAACAAGATGGGAGTTCCATAGAAAAAAAACCATTAGTATGTAGACTTAAAAATAAATGCTCAAGGTATTCAAACCTCTAAGGCTGATGAGGCACAAATTTTCCCAAGTATAGACCTGAAAATAATTATTTTAATATTCAATCACTTCTCATTTTATAATCATTTCAATTTCAGCTACTATTGAGTATAATATTTTGTGTATGTAATTGTGCAATACGTGCAAGTTCACACTTCATACACCTGCAGAGAAGAAAATCTTTATGTGTATATCTTGGGCTGGCAGTGAAAGATATTTACCTGTTTTTAAGTAAACCCACAATTTTTTGAAACTTTGTTCTTATTTTTAAGGTACTATTTAAATTTGGGGCTCAAAGGGTTCTGGTAAAAGTAAGTAAATAAATATTGTTCTTCTTTCATTGCGCTAGGCTGCCCTCCCGAAGAAGGCTATTTCCAAAAAAGCACAGATTATGCAGTGTTTTTTCTTCTGCCAATTCACTAAACTCTAACTCACGACTTTCTGAAAACAGCTTCATGTGTTCTGCATGCTTTTTTTTTTCTATTCTTCAAATTCTACTTTGCCTTCCACCTACAAACACATATTTTTTTCCTTTCCTGAGGTGTATTTCCATTGTTTTGGATTCCCATCTTGTTTAGTGCCCAGTACTGTATCTTAATGCTAATGTCAACTTACAAAATTTAAAGTTTCAAATAGGAATTAATTTAAGTTTAAAAAAAAAAAAAAAGTTTCAGCAATTGCTATAGTCCTTGCAGCAAGACAGCACATGACGTTTTTTCTCACTCAGTGAGTCAGTGTATACTGACAATAACCTGTGTTATCCACAGATGTGATAAAGGAAATGTAAGTAGATGGGACACATCTGTTCAATCTAAACATTCCTTCATTAGTATCACATTTATTTTTTATGGATGTTTATGTTTAGAATGTAAGCTAATGAGGATATGAATTCATAAATATACAATCTAGCCAATAATCTTATTAACTGGGCATTAGTTACAGCAACAAAAACAAACTTGTATGATTCTGTCATGTTCTTAAGTCCTTTTGTTCAACTTGAAATGGCATCACTGGCAGTAACCACAACTTGTCAAATTATATAATAAGCCTGAAGTCATAACTCATGCACTATGGTCCACAACTGCCCAGTAGTACCAGGAAAATTATGTTTTTTTTTGCGAAGTGTTGCACAGTGGAATAGGCAAACAAACTTCTGTCTTCTCTTTCTTGAAACAGTAAACACCAATCAGAAGATAATGATACAAATTCCATGTCTCAGAGACCAAATGTGGGCAGAAAACCTGTGATAACCTGTCACCATTTCAATTGCAAAATCTATAATACTCCAAACTTCAACATTCCATAGGAAATAACGGTAGGAAAGGCTTCAAAAGGAAGGAAAAAAAAAAAAAAAGGTGTGTGGGGGGGTGATAAAACATGACTTGCTTCAATGCCTTAGCAATATTAAACTAAGAACATCTACGTCGTTTGCAACAACTATTCAGCAAAGATAAGGAGACAAACCAAGTTACAATTACATTTTATTTTTTTTTAAAAGAACTTCTATCTCTAACAATCTATCAGAGTGTAAAGCCTAAATTATTTGTTCGCCAGAAAAACATTTCCTACTACACTTAATGTCTACTGATGTATACAGGCTGAGGGCTACTATAATAAAAGAAATAAAATACAAAAAGGAAAACCTGACAGCGCTGAAAACAATCAGAAATGCCACTGAACGCAGTAGGCTTGTGATTCCACAAGCAGTTTACCTGTCCTTCAGATTAGCAATGTGAATCTGGAAAAAAAATGACAGATACTGGAAAATTACTGGAAGCAAATTATCTCATGATATTTTGGCATTGCCATGTCCAAATACAATAGCAATAGTGCCACAATTTCCATGGGAGAAATGCTGAGAAACCCCTGACAAAAATCAAGGGTTCCTTTTGTCATCACACAGTTGTTTTTATTTATCTATTACGGTTTTCCCTAAAGGGTTTTTGAATTTAAGGAAAACAAACAACAAAAGCATGGTGGAAAGGGCTTCATATTATCAGTGAACAAATGCAGGTGTATCAGAGGGTTTGCACAAACTATTTGCAGTAACACTAAAATCTGAGTACAGGACCAGCAGTTCAGTAGAACAGCACTCATTTTATTCTGGCATTGGTGTACATAAGAACCTCTGTTTTTAAGATGTTTTTAACTGAATATTGGTTCTCCTATTAACAGCAATCAAAAGATTTTTAATGTCTATTTAACCAGTCATACAACACAGAAGAATCTATGTTTTCTGGCAGCTTTTATAGATAGTTTCATTGTACTTTTGGTCCTATGGCAGTGATATGAGGTATCATGAGCAGGTTTATTCAAAATTCCTCAGTATCGCACCATGAAAACACATGTTTTCAAATGACAGATGAAGAACTCCAGGTCTGGGGATCTTTTACACTAAAACACAGCCAATTCCACTTGGAAGTGTATCTCATAGCCTTGACTTGCAGTATTCCACACATTGAGCTGTCTGACCACTCTTATTCTAAGCAGACTTCTGTGAAAACTGGCAAACAAGTACAAAAATAAATCTACGCAAGCCAGGAGATCCTGACAACTTTTAAACTGTTCTCACACAAGGGTACACCTGGAATCTGCACAAGCTTGGATAGGTTACTAGAGGGAGCTACAACTACATGGGTAGGCTAAATAAACACTGCGGCCACAGGAATATGAAATTATTTGAAAAGTAGTTGGCTGACTGTCACTACTTTCTTATCCCCCACATGGAGAAAACATTCTTCTTGTAACTATGTATAAGCAAGGAATCACTTCACTAAGCTCAGCAAAGATATCCTAGAATCACTATGGTTGTTCAGAAGAATGATTTTATACTAAATGAAATCTAAAAGGAAATTGAGTTACTGAAATAAAAAAAATGGCATTCCAGCCTTGCAAAGAATTTACGTACCAACTAAACTCCATGGAAAAAAAAAAAAAAGACACTTCTATGAAACTTAGGGAAAAACTGAATGGAATTTGGATTTTCTTATAATAAATCCTACCTTCAATTTTACAAAATAACATTATGAAAAAGTTCAAAGGCTCTGGAAAGGTTATAACTGACAAAATAACAACCTATTATTTTCTCATACGTGCTAAACTCTTTTCCTGACTGGAAAATCATGCTTTCAAAAGAGCTCAGTGGTTTAGGGAAGACAGGAGTCTAATTTAACAATTCAACACTATAATACGGTCTTTTAAAGGGCTAGAAGGTTAGAGAAACGTCAGTCGTATCAACACAGCGACTGAAAATACCCATGAAAAACCAAATAAAAAACACAGATTTCCACCGCCTTTTCATTGGGCTCTTTCTGTATAGATTAACAGTTTATCATGGATATATAGACAATCATGTAAGTTCACTTTTCAAGTGGATGTACTTATTTGTATGATAGTTTCCAAGCTTTTTAAACTGCCCCACATATTTGAATCATTTCCAGACTGCTTGATAAAATTTTGTACTAAGTGCAGGGTGAATGGAAAGCTGTACTGAAAACCTGAAATTGAATAAATGTCAAAAAACTGAGACGTTCACATCGATGTCCCAATTACTATTGTTTCCATTTCTCTTACCCTTCCCTCACCACATACTGCAGTTCCTGTCTTCTTACAGACAATATCTCAGTTCTAACATGTTTTTTTCACACCCAGAAAGTATAGGGGAACTGAAGATTGGTATTTTCCTAACGCTAAATCTAAACACAAACTACTGTTTACAGTAGAGAACAGACACCTCTGAAATGACAGCAGCAAGACAACAATTAGATCTGCACACCATTGCCAAGAGAGATTCTGGAAGATGGATCTTTTTGACACAAGGATAAGGACAGCCTCAAGATCTGTTACCTATCTAGAAGTTACATTACTGAATAGGAAAAAAATTAAACCCAGTGAATACAGATAAGATTCTTCGGCACTGTAAAGCGAAGGTCAGATTTGACTGCCATATTGGTCTTCTCTAAATTTGAAAAGAAAGTTAAATTTTTGTGGAAAATACTATATTAACAGATATAAAGACAAGCCAAGAATGTCAAGTGTAATATTGCAGTTGGGCAGAGTAGACATTAGGAGAAAGCGACATGGCCTTCCCAGGAGATAATGCATTTATTCATGATCTCCACACATAACAAAACCAGTACCAGTTTCTAGAAGACAATACCTAATACATATTAGTTCAAAGGCACTACACAATTTAAATTAATCAAATAGACAGCTCTATCATTTTTCATACATTTTACAGTTCTCACAGTGAGGAGAACTCCCATTCCTCCAGATCTTACGGCATTAGAAAGTAAATAAATTACCTGTAACCAAAGTCTGTCACTTGTACTGAATTTACCATTGGCAGTGCACTGAAAAGTAGCAAATTGTCCTGCATTGACTTCCACACTCTGAAGCCGCAAGAAATGGGGAGTTTTTGCTGTCGGAAAAAGAAAAAGGATTGAAATTAAGCAACACAAATGCAATGATTATAATTAACACATGGAATATAGTTCCACTTTAAAAGGCTTAAATCACTAAAGACATTATATTTTAGGTTGTTTTAATTTTATTCTTTTATTCCTCTGTGTCTGGGAAAAAGCAGAAGTGATGGGTGCTATTTAATTAATCCTGCTGTAAATTATCTTAGCCCAGCATCCCTTTTGCAATAACAATCTGTATTAATGAAGATTGTATTGAAAATAAATTGATGCTCAGAATAAAAATTTATTAGATAGACTACCGACTAGACAAAACAGCAAGAAGTTGAGAGATGTTGTCAGGGAAACAGGTTTTCCTCTTAACCAGGTACAGTTAGAGGAGATGCTTTAGAATTGTACCATGAAACAGCTAAAATGCTAACATAATGCTTCTTGCTATCTACAGCTGCGTTTCTTCAATAAAATTAATTTCAACAACACTGAACAAAAATAGAAAACAAGGCATTCTCCATACTGATGCTTATTTTTAATTTAGAAAGAGAAAACATACCTAAGCAAAAATGAAAGCAATACAGAAGCATTTAACCTAACAAATAATAGATATTCAAACAAGACCCATCTCTACTGCAGAAGGAAAGAGAGCATGTATATTTCTGTTTTACTAGAGACAACAAAAAACGTGACAGAAAAAGATAGAAATTTGATATAGAAACTCACCCTTGAGAATGCATTGTTACCCAGCAATTCAAATCCTACTGCAGTCAAGGAGAATTTTTGCACTATCTATACTAGCAGATAAGCCAGGCTCCGAACATTGCTTTCAGTCATGGAACAGCTAATATTAGAATAAACTACAAAATGAAGCATATGCTTTCTAGCAGAGCATCACAACTGTTTAAAATGTTGATGACATTCTCTTAGAAGAGCTTATCACTGGGACAAACTACAAATTATAACAGAAAATAATGAGCAACCAGATTTCAAGAAGCCAAATTTGTTAACGACCAGCATAAGGCAGTATAAGAAGCCAAAGATGGAAGAAAACAGCTCAAGTTAATATCTAATTACAGGAGGAAATGTTTTCATGACAGCTGTCCTTTTGGCAAATTTACTAGATGTAGCAATTTTCTTTATTTGAACATTTCCCAATGGAATCAGGACAGACAGCCTCTATCTTCTTCACCTATCAAATTATTACTGGCTGTCTATTCAGTAAAATTCTTAGGAAGTTTCTCTTACTTTTTAACATTGAATTTTACCTTTTTACCATACTTGTTTTTTTTCTCAATCTTCCCAAACACTGTTAAAGTAGCTTCTCTGAACTACAATGTATGGCTTAAGTAGAAAGGGGCTTTAGGATTTTTAAATACACACACACACAAACCAACGAACTGCCAAACACGTCTTTCAGTTCTACATGCAGTCTTAATTTCCACTTGGCCTTTGTCCACGCTACCCAGATAACTGCCTAGAACGTATGTCATGGTTTCATGGTATTTTTCCCATTTCAATTTTTGTTGAAAGTTAATCATTTAGAAAGTACTTTTTCTGGCAATATACACAAAGAAAAGTCATTTTGAGTCTTGCAAGGGTACATACACAAAATAGTTTATTTCCAGTTCTCCTTTTTTTCTATTTTCAGTGACAGCAGACAGTGTAAATAGTTTGATATTTTAATTTCTAACATTTTAGTTACTTTATTGAAGTATTTCATTACAGTTTCTAAATTTCAACACTTTAGAATTAGAACTCTACACGTTATGAGATATAACTCAGTACTTGCAGGTTTTGAGAACGAATACACAGATCAAACCTCTCAAAAACTCTGTAAGAAAAATTACTATGCTGATAAAGTGCTGCTTTATACTTCACTAGTCAAACCTAAGATATAAATTCAGAATGCAAAAGTGCAAATACTGCCTAACAACATGAGAGCCTGCTGTGTTTATTAGAACTAAGTGATTCAGAAATAATAGCTGCTGATTCTGCATAACTGTCTCTGTATTTGAAGAAATGTCTGTGTCTTTTTGCCACTAACACTAAAATGATATTTATGAGGTGTTCTAGCATTAACCGATGAGCCACTTTTTATTTTAAATTGCAGCTCACACTTACAAATCACAAAGAATGCATACAAGTACAATATGCCATAAGAAGCGGATGAACAATTACACAGCATTTGGTATCTTTTTCCTCACTCAGTCATTTGGTCAGTGAGACTACAACCTACAATTCATTGCATGACTTTAATATGTGTTACTTAACAAATAGCAGATATGTGAAATGATAGTTTCCGTAAGCGGTTGGTTAAAGACACCTGGGTTACTATATTCAATTTTTAATTCATAAGGTTGATTTTAATATTGCTCTTAAAAGAACTTTGGGGAGCTAAGCATTGCATGTTCTTAGTAAACACAGAATTGTAGGGGTTGGAAGGGACCTCTGGAGATCATCTTGTCCAACTCCCCTGCAAAGCAGGCTCCTTACAGTAGGTTACATAGGAAAGCATCCAGGTGGATTTGATTATCTCCAGAGAAGGAGACTCCAGAACAACTCTGGGCAGCCTGTTCCAGTGTTTTTTCACCCACAAGATGAGGGTAAGGATTTTTTTTTTTCTCATGTTCACGTGGAACTTTTTTTCACCTGTTACCCTTTGTTCTGTCACTGGGTACCGCTCAAAAGATATTAGCCCCATCTATTTGACTTTGGTCCTTTAAATATTTATATGCAGCCTCCACCAGGCTGAACAGTCCCAGGTCTCTCAGCTTTTCCTCATAAGATAAATACTTCAGGACCCTACCCATCTTTGCAGCTCCCCACTGGACACTCTCTAGAAGTTCCCTGTCTTTCTTTAACTGAGGAGCCCAGAATTGGACACAGTACTCCATATGAGGCCTCACTAGGGCAGAGTAGAATGGGAAGATCATCATTGGACTTGCTGGCCATGTTGTTTTTTTTAATGTAACCCAGGATACCATTGGCTTTCTTGGCCACAAGGGCACACTGCTGGCTCATGGCCCACCTATTGTCCACCAGGACACTCAGATATTTTTTTGCAGAACTCTCTTCCAGCAGGTCAATGCCTTATCGGAATAGGATAAGGAAACATGTTAGAAAATAAGGCAGTAAAAAAAGTTCAAAAATTTAGGCATGAATGTGAACTTTCTACCTGGGGATTTACCCTAAGCAATCTTGTTTAGTAAAGTCACAGCCCTCAACCAGCTGAGTTTTCTACCTTCTAAGAACTGGAAAAGTAGTCACATGTCATCAGTTCAGTTCTTGCATTGTCCACCTCCCTAATTAAATGCAGCTTCTAGCTGCATTTAATTTTTGATGTTGATAGAAAGACACATAACATGTCTTGATGATTTTTGTTCTGAAGGAATTGTTAGATGATGCAGGTTCATGCTGTGCAAAAATTGTATATAAAATACATCTCCTAAGCTGGTAAGGTGCAGGGATCAAAAGCTAGCAACATTTCGTATACACTTAGCATATTTTTGTAGCAGTGACATTGTTTTCTGACATTTTCAGTATCTTTTCCTTAACATTAACTGAGGGATAGTAGCACATACATTTTAGAAGACTTTAAAATAGCGTGTGGATACTTACTACATGGATGTCCTAAAACTTTCACTTCATCAATGGCCACATATCCAGGGTGACCTGAAGTTACCACTTCAAAAACAACCTGAAAGTGAAAAGAGAATTTCTGTTAGCAGCTTTATAAAAGAGGAAATATAAAAATACTTTGTTATGGAAAAATATGTCAACTCTTTCAACATTTGAGAGCTCTTTGTAAATGAAGAACAATCAAAAAAACTTCAAAATGAGTCATAAAAAAGAGCCAGAACATAAATCGCATTTTTCATGTTTATACTGTTTCAGAAATTTACTAGAGTGATTGTACAAGGCTCATAATGAGAAATACTCCCCCTAGTATTTGGTCTGCCAAAATAATTACCTAATAATCTTAAGTATTAAAATCAATAATTTATCTTTAATTATTTCATTTGAATGGAACACAGACCTACTTTTATTAAATAAATGACCACTCTTCAGTATACAGTGTTCTACAAAGTATCAGATACAAACAGATCCATTTTTAAGAATGTATTTTCTATGCTCTTAGTCTTCCAACAAATCCTGTGAATTAAAGAAAAGCAGATCCATATGCCATTGTTTGTTTAATGGCTATAAATAGGTCACAAAATAAATGGAGTCCTCCTGTTATTTGAATTAAGCACACTCAGAAGTAAACATCTCCAAACTTTGGCAATAATAGCCCAAGAATGTTTACGTGAAATAGAAGAAAATACGCCAGTAACATTAGCAGGTACATTTCCAAAGCAATGGAAAAGAAGCTCATGCTCAAAGTCGGCTTATGAAGAAGTTGAAATTTAGAAGCAACTTTTCAAATATATGCTACATTTTATCTTGCAATAGATGCAGATGGACGCTACACACGATACCCTTAGCAACAATTATTTTGGCAGAAAGAGAATGATACAAAATACCAGCATGTTGTAAGGATAACATACAGCCCCCTAAAAGTCTTCCATTGCTGAATAAACACTGTTAGAAGACCAATACTGATTTTGACACAGACTCTGAGACACGCAAATTCTTTTCCACCTCTCACCATCTTTCATCCTTCTCATTTCTTCATCATCACTGGCCAACAATCCTACTCTTTTGTCCCAAATATCACAGTATTCTTCCTAAATTCCATCCATTTCTCCTCAACATCCATGGAATAAAATTGCCATAAATACAGTTTTAAGTCCACACAGCTGACAAGAAAAATATCTAATTTTCATTGTATTTCTGTCTCCTGTCCACAGAAGAATTTCAACTTGCAGGGCTAACATTGCCCCCAGGTGAACATGACAACAAGAGGAAAGCATGAAGAAAGTTCAAAATCCACCAACCAATTTTTGTAGAAACAGGTTCTGCAAGACAAAGATTGCTCAGTCACAAACCCAACCTGAAGGCACGCTGATGGCACTCATAACTGATACTGCCCATCCATAGCAACAGAATAGTCAGGTTATGTATGTGGCTCCTTGCGTTCAGAAGAGCATCTTGATCAAGACTGCTCAAAATTTCAAAGCATCACTTTTCTACACAAAGTATTTTTTTGGTGGAACTGATCTTAGGAACTACCCTGGGAAGTATGAGTACACAGCTCTTAAAAGAATAATTTCTATTCAAAAAACTGAAAGAGGTTTTCAAATGATGGTCTCTACTATCCTCATCTTAGCAGCATTTAAATGGAAATAGAAACTGATAACTTGCACAAAGAAACCTCGAGTTTCAGTGGCAGTGAAAGACTGAAAAAAGGAAACTGAAAAAGGAGGAGACTGCTCCATTTCTTGGGGACCTACCAAGACTACTTACAACAGAGTAGGTCTGAAAGACTGTAGGGCATGAAAATGATTGCACAGTGGTGAAAACATGCAGTAAAGAGAGGGATTTTACAACATGGCAGTGAAGAACAGACAATAGACAGTTTGGTCTCAGAAATGGTGGAAAGGTTCCTGGGGAAATATGATGCCACTAAGAAAGCCACTGAGGAAACTGAATCCAAGTGTGGAGGTAAAGAACAGTCTGAAAAAATCCAATTTCTCTGATTTCTCTCCTGTATTCTCTAGCTGCTTTGAGTTTCAACTGTTAAGAAGAAAAAAACAGAAACTCTAAGTCTTACTTTTATTGAAATCAATGTCACAAGTTTCTTTAAAGTTTCTTTCGGGGAACTCACTGTAAGGAGATTTGCACAAAGTTACATGAAAGGTCTGCTTGATCCACGATCCCAACACTGCACAGAGAATGTTCTTATCAAGCTCTTCATTTTCACATATGCTAAAATGTAGAAAAGTACTGGAGATATCTGCATATGCGCAACTTTGAAGAAGTCAGCCAAATCATTAAGTTTTCTGCTAAAATTATTACTGCCATATAACAGGGATTTTACTAATGTCAGAAAATACTTGCATAAGAGAGCCTTTTACAAGGAGTAGTCTGACTTCCAATAAAACCAAATATCTAAGTAGAAAATCTCAAAATAATTTCTGTAATCCATAACTGGGGAGCTTAGCTACAGATTTTCCAATAGGTTTCAAGTACTTCCTTATCAAAATATACTCACAGACAAGTATAGACTGACCATAAACCAGTTCTATCAGTTTACTGGCAGAAATTACAACCTTGAAATAACTAAATTGGATATACTTATGGCAACAGAGAAAGATTCAATGAGCGATCTAAAATATTTTGCAGTATTTCTAGACAATATACCAAAAATACCATTGTCACAAATAAGCCAAGCAATGTATCAAGAAACTGCCAGCTGGATGTGCTATTAAATTACAAATGTTGTCACTTAGGAGAGCAAGTTCCAAAGAAAAGTTATCCAAGTTGAAATATAGTTGGTTTAATTACGCGTCCATTACATGCAATAGTCAAGCTGATATCAACTTACCTGACCATATGTTTTAGTCTTTTTTGACAGAAAAGTCACATTTATTAGTAAATGGAAAGGGGCACTATAGCCAGCAGTGATACACTATAGCCAAATAGACATCACTGATGTGCCTTTCCCTTCATATATTCAAGAATATGACACACACTAAAAGTACAGTAATAGAATTTACTGTCTGTTCACAGGCTGTGAAATACTATCAAATTCTGTATTCAAATCCAGTACAGTTCTATTAATAGAAATAAAGATTATAGACCACAGTATTTGCTCAAGTGAGCATGTTCCCTTGTACATTAAAAAATTCATTTGATTCTACAGGTGCCATGGGCCTGCAAATCCCTGTAAGCACACTGCACGCTGCATGGGACTGTTCAGGACTGGACCTAGAAACATTTCTGGTAACTCATTTTTCTTCTAAAAAGCTGACATTTGATGTTCTTAGAGATCTTTTCCAACCTAAATGATTCTATGACAATTCACAGATCTGGATGAGTTTCCCGAATTATTTCTCTTAGAAATAAAACCCTGCATCTTGTTTCACGCCAAGCTTTCTCCAACATTTCACACTTGAAAAGCTGTGTGTTTTGTAGAATTTCACATTTCTACTTCAGAAGTCAAACTTTGCATTTCCTCCCAGCTGCCGCAACACCTGTGGGCAATATGACAGACTCCAGTCAAAACAAAGGCGACAGCCAAAGCAACAGCAGGCTGGGTAGTCCTTTGATTTGTTAGTCTTATTATTCCATCACCTTATCAGGCAGGAAACAACTGGTTAAAACACTACATTCAACTGCTCAGGAAGAGCTGGGCTGATGCTGGCCTGGGAGCTGCCTGGCCTCCTGGGCCTGCCAAGCAGGAAGCAGGGAAGTGGCCTAACGCTGCATGTCCCAGAGCCTCCCTGCTTCACTGAAGGGCAAAATTAGCTTCTCATTCCTGCCGCTTCCCCTTTCTGTGCATGAACAAAAGAAGGGGGGCTGCTCACCAACGTAAATGCTTACTGCTTACAATGTGCAGCTCGCGATAACTTCTCTGCTCCCCTGAACAATAGGAATAAATAGTTTTTGTTGCCACACAACCTCGCTCTGTAAATTCCTGCCTTTGTTGTTGCAAAATCACAATGCTTTTAGTTGAAAGGTGGGTTGTACCTAACGTAAATACTCTCTACTTCACATGACTTTAAAATAGCAGTCTACAAAAAACAAGACAGAAAAAAGAGTATTGAGAAAGCTCCTTAACATTAGACTGCTTTTTTGCTTCCCATAAACTGGGCCAAGACTCCTGCAGCACTCATCCCACCCACCCTGCCAACAGCATTTGCTGCCTTCTCTCCACTGTCTGCTACGTTTTACTCCCAACTGCTCCTTTCCTTGGTCAAATCAGACACCAGTGGTTACACAAAGGTACCTGCAAGTTAAGCACTTCTCCCTTTGGGTTCTGTCCTAGGACTGCCCCTGTTCTTACTGTCTCTTCAAAGCTGCAGTAAGGGACATTTCTGACTTCATCCTTCACAGAACCCACAAAACCCTATCAGAGCATATTTACTTGGGCTCTTAGCAGCACTGCCACACCTAGAACATGGTTTGGCCTCATAGGTTAGGAATTTATTGCATGCTATGTGCGTCTCCATCTATCATTTCTACTCAACCACTGTCCAACACTCAAATGAGCACTTCAGCACATTAAACAACACCTCGGTTGTGCTGCCAACCTGAGAGTCCAAAGAAACCTCTTCAAAGTGAACACCACTGAAAACAGCTCCAAACTGTGAGGTTTACTACATCACGCTCTTCTCTCTTTGCTTTTAAATCAGATGCGAATGAACAGTTCCCTTGGTTTAGGAACAAGGGTGAGAGAAAACACTGGATCTTTGTTTGCAAACAAGAATGCATCTACTTACTCTTGGACATTTATATATTGATGGGGTTTTTTAATTTAGATACGTGGCCTACCCTCTTTCTCATAATAATCTTTCTCAAAATAAATGCACTCCTAAATCACACAACTTGGTCAAAAAGATTTTGGACCATTCAAAGCCATTCAAAAGGCAATATGCATTTCCAAGTTTGAGTTCAAAGCGCAGTTCAGAAACCATAAGCATGCAGTTTAATGTAGAGCATGCAATATATGAGAATATGAGCATAACCTTCACTGTCCAGAGTTCCACTCATTGTCCTAGCTGGTGACTGAAGTACATTGCATCAACCAAACTT